ACAGTCACCAGAGATTAAATAGAGGAAGCTCAATCTTGGACTCTCAGTCTCCAAAATTATGGGCTAAATAAACTTCTCTTCTTTATAGAAAAAATATCTAGCTTCAATTGTTTTGTTACAGAAACACAAAATGGATGAAGATAACACATGCACACAAATTACATTTATGGCTTATTATTATTTTTTGTACTGGGGATTGAACCCAAGGTTGCTTTGTCATGGGGATGTGAACCACATCCCCAGCCCTTTATTTTTTGAGACAGAGTCTCACTAAATTGCTGAGGCTAGTCTCCAACTTTCTATCCTTTCTGCCCTAGCCTCCTGAGTTGCTGAGGTTACAGGTGTGCGCTACCATGCACTGTACATAGTTGCACTTATATTTTACTTTAGCTCTTGGGTTGAAATGGAGTGATAATATGATGTAGCATTTCAGGCAAAGTTAAAAAAAATTCTGTTTCTCCAAGGCAGATAAAAATGGTATTCAATATTTTCTACAATTATATTCAATCTTCTCCCTGCCACCTCATTCTTTATTTTACCCCCTCCCTCTTACCTTTTCTAGCAAGGCTTTGGATATGGTTGGCTTTTTTTGATATTAGTTGATGTCATGTGTCTGATTTATACAATCAATTAAAAGAAAGGAAAAAGTTCTATTATAACATAGAGATTGAATCATGAAATAAAGTACGAATACATTATGCTGAAGGATGTTGCTCATCATTTAAAAACATCACACACTTCGGTAGTGTCAGGTTATTTCTTATTACAAATTTACAACCATCAGAATTGTTAACCTTCTATATCCTTTCTTCTAAGACAGGTTATTAATGAGGTAGAAATATATAAGCCATTTTTTTCTTGAAATATTGGCCCAACTTAGAAATTTAACGTCAGTGGATTAGACTTCCTGGACCAACATGAAGATGATTTCAGGAGTATTGTGGATAATTAAATAATTTTAGAATACTAAGGAATGTCAATGGCCTAAATGAAGAGAATGAGATTTCTTATATTATAAGCACATCAGTCCTTTTTGTACCATAGTAATATCCTTGGTGTGGATCTTGAATGGAAACGAGGTCTAACTTGTGTAGGGAAAGTGATCTTGAAAGAGGTGAACTATTTATTATAGGTCAAACAAATTTTATCATACGGTATTTATCAGTTAATTTTGTATTTGTCATTCAATTTTCCTACAATTGTCTTGATGATTTTCTGCTCACTATTAAACATCTACATGTCAGACGTAGGTTAGAGCATTCAAAATATATGATCCCTAATACAGCATGCTTACATTCTAAGGAAGACTTGCAGCATGTAGTGATTTATCTACTTTATTATTTATTTTTTGGTGCTGGGGATTAAACCCAGGGCCTCCAGCTTGTTCTCAGTATATGCTCTGCCCCTGAGATATAATCCTACCCCTTATTGTGTCTTATCTTTAATTTTTCAGATGATAGATTGGTGGATTTTTAAGGTGATAACTTAAAAGACTTGATGTTGATTGGTGAGAGTTTTTCTTCATCTGATAATGATAAATCTACAAAATTTATCTTGTAGGTTTGTGAAGATTAAGTTAAAGGTGTGGAATGTTTGGCATATAGTAAATACTAAAAAAAAAAAATCACCTTTTAGTAGATTTAGAAACAAAGAGATACAGCTCTCAAGGTACGCTTTTGACAGAATATGGAAGATGTGAACTAACAAAGTGTTAAGTATACAGTGAATGTAAAATTGAGTATTTCTGAAATGTGATAGTGATTATGTAAGTATCAAGAACAAATTAAGATTCTTGAAAGCTAATGTGAACAGGTTAAAGATACAGGGCAAATAAAAGTAGGGTTCCAATTATAGCACTGAAGGTTGCATTCATGAGATATTGGTTTAAGTTGAACTTCACAAAATTGCCACTGTTTTGGCTGAAACACATAGAATATGGGCAGTTACATATGGTCCACTTATATTTTGAGAGGGAAAAAATGCGGAAGTAGGGACTGTGAAGGAAAGGGCATAATTCTTCAGGTGTGGTCCAATTAACCAGGGTAGTCTTATTTTTAATACAGAATGGCTAGGTTCATGCAGATGTAGATTAAGTTTAGTTGCCTCATTTCTTTGTAGGAAAAAGTACCTAGATGCTTATGGGGACTTTTAACCTTCATCACAGTTACAAAGAATTAAGAAAATTTATAAAAAAACAAAAAGGTGAGAATATTTTTAAAAAAATATTTATTCTTAAGTTTTAGGTGAACACAATATCTTTATTTTACATTTACATAGTGCTGAGGATCGAACCCAGTGCCTTGTGCAAGCTAGGTGAGCACTCTACCTCTGAGCCACAATCCCAGCCCAAAGATGAGAATATTGAGTTAAGCAGACATAAAGTGACACACAGATCTCTATATCAACAGTGGCTACCACAGAGCTTCCTCAAATTATTTTGGAAAGAACATATAATAGCCAGGTGCAATGGTGCACGCCTATAATCCCAGTGGCTTAGGAGGTTGAGGCAGGAGGAGTTCAAAGCCAACCTCAGCAAAAGCGAGGCGCTAAGCAACTCAGTGAGATCCTGTCTCTAAATAAAATACAAAATAAGGCGAGGGATGTGGCCAAGTGCCCCAAGTACAATCCTAAGTTCCAAAAAAAAAAGAAAAGAAAAAGATCAATTATACAATATTTCAAGATTTGACTACAATACTGCAATAGTTAAGAACAGTTATTTTTCAAGAGAGTGTCATTTCCAGCCATCTTAAAATACTCCCATGGCAATAAAGTCAAGTGTGGTCTGAGATTTTCTGAATATTAACTGTAGCAGTGAACAACATTTTTAATCTATGAATCTTTTAAGAGCGTCATGTCAGAATGATCTATAGACCAAAACAAATTTTTCATGTCATTTGTCAATTGGCATCAAAGAAGAATTTAATTCCTGTGGGCAAGTACTTTATTCTCTAAGGTGGCTGGACTAACCTTTTGCAAGAGATAATGCACTTAGACTCCCCAAACATACCCTTACTTCTGGAAAAACATCTAAAAATATACGAAATTGTCCTTCCAGGGGAAAAGCTACCCTCTATCCAAAGTATTCAGGTAAGGAGAAAGTGATAGTACTGTGATTCCCTTTCTCCCATACTCCACTGTTTTAATCTCTGTCTTCTACAAATTACCCAGTCCTTTTTTCTATTCCCCCCATCATGTTATTCTAAACACTTTAAATTTTTAAGTGTAGGGCTGGGGTTGTGGTTCAGCGGTAGAGTGCTCATCTAGCACACGGGAGGCCCTGGGTTCGATCCTCAGCACCACATAAAAATAAATAAAATCAGGTATTGTGTCCAACTATAACTAAAAAAAGTAAATAAAAAAATAAAGGTCCATTGTCAACTAAAATATTTTTTTTAAAGAAAACTATTGACATTAAAAAAGCCAACAAAAAAAAATTAAGTGTAAAATAGTATACCATTTGTACTATTCAAGTATTCAACGTGATTTTTTAGTTCAATATGAAAACAAAAGAACTTAATATTAGATGAATCCTGTTCTAGTACTCAGAATTTCGAGTATTTTTTCATGGTTGTATTTTTTAGGTCAATTCCCTGAAAATTTGATTTTTTGGGGGCATAATTAGCAGCCAAGTACAAGTTTCTCATCCTATGATAGGTGGCATGTGTGCATGTTTTGGAAGTGAAATGCAAACTTGGTCTCTGGCAAATGGATACAGAATTTTTTTAGTTCGTGCACACAGTTTAAGTGCTTAGACTTTACATCATTCCCTCAGCACAACCTCACTTATTACACAAAGTATAATAATCAAAATAATTGAAACTGATTTGAACCTGATTTCTAATAAAAGGCATATTGTGGGCACCGTTCCCACTTCTTGAATTTAACCTTCTTGGCAACCAAACCTAAGGATAATAGGCAGAGATGTCTCTTAGTTGGCAGAACACACAATAAAACCTAAGTATGTTCCCCAAGGTTGATAGTAAGAATGTCAAGGAAGCCAAAGAAGGAAGGAGTGTTAACCTAATCCAAACTAATGCCCAATTGTTGTGGGACTTTTTCAGGGGATACCTGACTTCATATGATTAAGAAGTAGCAATGTATGTGTGTGCAGCAAAATGATTGTTTTTTTTTTTAAAGGGATTCTGTCCCACTGAACATGTACATGCTTCGTATAAAATCTACTTTGTTTTGATGCCACTGGCTAGAATTAAAGATCTCTTCCCATGTGTGAGGTGACTTGCGATTTCTTTTTGCTTTAAATGCCTGCCTCCAGGGTGGGAGACGGTTGGAAACCTGGGTCTAAGGGGGATGGGAATGGGATGGCTCCGACTGTGAATCTGAGAGCTGCATGTGTGAGAAAAAAAATCCTCCTCCAGCCTCGGAGGGGGTGTCTCCCCCAATACCAGCTCCCTCCCCCCGGGCTCGTGGGGCGGGTCTGGTTTGTTCAGTAGCAGCAGCGGCCGCAGCAGAACCCCGGGGCTCAGCGGCAGCGGCCTCCTGGCAGCGCGGGGAAGCGGCGGCTCCAAGACCGCGAGGCCCTGGGGAGATCCCACCGAGGCTGCCGCCGGCATGGAAGAAACGTCGTGGGGAGCCAGAGCCAGCGGGGAAGGATTTCCTTCCCAGCTCAGCGCCCCTACAGGTTGGCGGGGCCTGCTCCGGGCATCAGCGAGGTGGAAGAGGCCTGCGCCGTGGGCCTGGCATCGGCAGCCGGCGAGCGAGGCGGGCACAGCGGGATAACCGGCGAGCCGTAGCCGCTCTCGGGAACCTACGCCGCCACGGCCGCTCATTGTCTCTCCCCTTCCACCCGGGGGGCAAACAGGAAGCGCGCCGCTAGGCCGAGCGACGGATGGGTACCCGGACCAATGAGCATAGCCGACAGAGAGCGTGGCAGCGAATAAGCGCGGAGAAGAGGGGCGGGACTTCCGGGCGGGCTGTCACCCTCTTCCCCCCTTTTGGGCTGGAGGCTCCACCTTTTGTGTTTCCCGCACAGTCAATCAAAATAGGAAAAAAAAATCCCCGGACCGCTCCGGCCGTGTCCGCCGCCGCTTCCCGCATCCTCTCTCGCCGCCGCCGCCTTCGCTCCTCACCATGTGTAAGGCGGCGGGGAGCCCCGCCTGAGGTGCCCTAAACACACTATGACCGGTACGTAAAGCCGAGAGAGAGCAACCCTTGCTGCTGCCGCCGCCGCCGCCGCCGCCGCCGACCACAGCCAGCTCGGGGCCGCCGCCGCCGCCGCCGCCGGCTCCCGGCCCCGAGCGTGCGACCGAGTGTCTGTGAGAGGCAGAAAGCCGCACTCCCCTCCGCCTTCTTCCCCTCCCCGCCAGCCACCGTCCAGCCCTCAAGCCCCAGCAACGCCGTCTCCCCGCCGGACCCCGGGGCAGGCGGCCTGGTCCGCCGAGAGCGCATCCCCCTGTGTGCGGGCGCGGGCGGGCGTGTGTGAGTGACTGACGGTGCGAGAGGAGCGAGCGCGAGTGAGAGCGAGCGGCGCGAAGGGAAAGGGGAGGAGAGGAGAGGAGAGGGGGCAGGGGCAGCGCGGGGAGGAGGAGGAGGAGGGAAAGAGGAGGAGGAGGGTTACAGCCGCGGCGGGCGGGGGCAGCAGCAGGAGGGGAGGAGGGAGCCGCCGCTCCGCCGCCGCCGGGGGGCGGGTGGGGGAGGGGAAGGGGCCTCGATCGGGGCTCGGAGTAATTTCGCCGCGGCCCGCGGGCCCCCCTCCCTCTCCTCCACCCGCCTTCCTCCCCACCCCCACCCCACCCCCCCGCGCTGTGCCTGCAGCTCCCGAAAAGCCCGTGAAACAAGAGGAAATGGCTGCCTTGGACGTGGACAGCGGCGGCAGCGGCGGCGGCGGCCACGGCGAGTATATGCAGCAGCAGCAGCACGGAAACGGCGCGGTGGCGGCGGCGGCGGCCCAGGTGAGGAGCTGCTGAGCCCCGGCCCGGCTCCCCCCTCGCGCCGCTTTCTCCTCCCCTCGCCGCTCCCCTCCCTCCTCTCCCCTCCCCTCCCCCGCCCCGGGAGCTGCCCGCCCGAGGCGCCAACGCTCCGACCCCGCCCGCGCTCCCCCGCCCGCCGCCTTTTTGTGCGTGTGTGAGTGTGCGCGCCCTCCCGGGGTGGGTTCCGGGCGGAAGGTGGAGGCCCGGCGCGCAGCCCGCCGCCCGCCTGCCGCGGACGGGGCCGGTGTGCGTGCGAGCGGGAGGAGAGCCGAGGAGGAGGAGGAGGAGAGCGCGGGCTGGCTCGCCCGGGCGCAGCCTGCGAGGACCGAGCCGCACTTCCTGTGCGAGCGGCGGCCCGGCCCTAACCGCCACCCCCTCCCTGTCTCCCTCTCTGAACCCGCCCATCGGGGGTAGGACACTCAGCCGTCACCGCTTGCTCTGTTGGCCGCTACCTGCAGCAAGATAGGGCCGCCATCGCCCGGCGACGACGAGGAGGAGGCGGCCGCCGCTGCCGGGGCCCCAGCCGCCGCCGCCGGAGCGGTAAGTCCAGCGCGCGCGGCCCGCCCCCGCCGCGGCCCTGCGCCCGCCATCCCGGGCCTGCGCCGCGCCAGCCCCAAAGGCCTCCCCGGCGCCCGCGCGGCCGCGACACGCGCGCGTCGCGGAGCCAGGGCTTCTTTCCTGCTCTGTGCATCCCTGTTTGGATCCCAAGTAAGCACATGCTTTCTCGAAATTGTCACTGTGGTACCTCGCTGAAAATTCTCAACAAAATGAAGTCTGAGAGGGCGGGGGTAGAGGACTCCAAAATGGATGTTTGAGCAATTCATATCTCTGCTGAAAACTCCTTCGCTGAACACTACATTTTAAAGCAAAGCCTATCGGCCATAGATAGTATCAACTAGAAAGGCAGTGTGTTTAGTTTCTAGAATTTTTGAGTCTGGAGCGTTTTCTGCTGGAAGTTACTAGATCTTAAACTGATTTAAGTCGAGAAGGTTTAATTTGAACTCTTTGTATGCAGGAATGAACACAGTGCTTTTTTTAAGTGACCTTTCAAAATGGTTGAATTTTACTTTTTGCAGACTACTACAAATTTGTACTAATTTTTTCTAAGCGTGGTAAATGAAAGGTCCGTTTAGCAACCGTTGAAATTAGCAGTTATTTATATAGTACTTAAGCTTTTGAAATTGAACACGAATATCTGTTAGAAACAAGTACAGGTGAAGAATTTTATCTTCATGCTCGTTAATGCATATCATACAGTAGAATTTGGTTGGCAAAACTTTTTTCATTGTATCAAATGACTGGCTAGTCCGATAGGATGTGGTGGGTTTCTTTTGGAAGTGTTTCTAGTGTCTGGGGAATGGGGAGGAACTGGCAGTGTTAGATGATGGTGTAAGACAAAATTAGTAACACATTGTAGAGTATTTTTTACGAATTTTATATTTGTTTGGATCGTTGCTGTTGCTTTAGTGTAACCTGTACATGTGTGCATTTGTTAAAATAGTTGAAACGCTTCTCAGTCTAATTTTTGTGGGTTATAAGAATTAATTGTGGTGGTGGGTTTATTTATTTATTTTTTGGTACTGAAGATTGAATTCAGGGGCCCTTTTACCACCGAGCAACATATACACACGCACACACACACATATGTATTTTATTTATAATATATAAATTTTGAGATGGGGCCTTGTTAAGTTTCTGAGGTTGACCTCGAACTTGGGATCCTCCTGCCTCAGCTTCTCTTTTGGAGGTATTGGCCATCATGTTGGCCTGAGTAGTGATGTTTTGAATGGTCACTGTAAAAAGAAAAGTTTGATATTTGGTATAGTGAATATGTAGGCATTACAAGTTTAAGCTAATGCATTGTTAAGTTATATTTGGAATTTTAGTGCTTCAGATTATGCTGTGGGGGATGTGAATAGTCTTAATGTCTTAATTGTGCTTTTTTAAGTAGATTAAAGCATAAAAGCATAAAATCATGTTTGTGAGAAGCATTGTTATTTAAACAAATCTGTGGATTGGCAAACCAGTTTTTTAAAAGTATATTCCTCCATACCCCAGAGTGCCAAAACACATTAACTGTTTATAAACCACTGCACAAGTAAAATTGAAAATTAGACTTCTTCTACTTTTTAAGTATTTCAAATAGGCCAAAATCTTTTTCCTAATTTGCCAGATTTACATATCACCTTATAGATGGGGGAAGGGAGAAGTGGAGAACGAAGAAGGAAGTTATGGGTGAAAATGTTATGTGTTAGTCTCAAGCCTAGGATTAGAATACTATCTCCAACTGTTTCCATGTCTCTTTAGATCTTCTCTGAATTATCACATAATCACTGACAACACATTTACCACCCCATCTTAAATAGAATCATTCTGAGATATCTGAGATTTATCAGTCAGACACCTCATAATTTGTCAATCACAATAAAATGAAAATTAGTTTTTTTTCAAAATAGAATTTTGTATATTGAAAATTAGTTTTGCCAGCAAACCCTTAGAACATATGTATGTTTGGCACATCTGCATAATATTTTTCACTTTGAGTAAAGTTGATAAGTCTGGCTTAGATGTTTGCCTTAGCAATAATAAAGATTATTTTTTTCCAGTTCATGGGCTTCCCCCCCCCCCCCCCTTTAAAAATGAACTTAGATACAGGGGCATTTGTGCAGTCCTGTAATCCCAGTGGCTTGGAAGGCTGAGGCAGGAAGATTGCAAGTTGAAAGCCCAGCCTCAGTAATTTAGCTAGTCTCTGAGCAATTTAGTGAGTCCCTGTCTCAAAATAAAAAGGGTTGGGTATGGGGCTCAGTGGTTAAGCCGCCCCCCTCCCGTTTAATCCCTGGTACCAAAAATTTTTAAAAATTTGTGGAATAATTTTAGATTTACAGGAAAGTTGAAAATAGAGAACTGAAAATTACCTTGTACCCTTCACCCAGCTTCTCCTCATGTTAACATAATTGTGGTACATTTATCAAAATTAGGAAATTAACATTGGTATAGTAATAACTAAAGTAATTACAGGATTTATTTGGATTTTGTCAGGTTTTCCACGAATGTTCATTTTCAGCTCCATAGGATCCATCTTGCAGTAACCACATTGCATATAGTGGAAATATACATATACAGTTCAACATTATGCCAGTTTAGCTTGATATTTCAAGATTTCAAAGGGCCTTGAAAGGCAATCAGCTGCATTAAAGATTTGCTTTAAAGAGTATGAATTTGGAATTTGTTAAAAGTGTTCTCACCTATGTATAATGTCCCAAAGCATGGATTCCCAAAGATGGAAGCAGAGCTCTTTTATACTTTGTTATTAAAAATGTCTGGAAATTAAAAAAGTACACGTATATGCAAGTATTAACTTGTGCAAACTATATTTGTGTGAACTTATGGATTATTTATATGCCTATTTCATTTGTACTGTAGTAAAATAAACTGAACAGATAAATATTATGAGTCATTGTCTGATCTTTGGTTTAAGTTGTAAATTTAGTGTTCATTAGTTTAGCACATAAGTGTTGAACTAAAATAAACGAATAGTAGCTTATTTCAAGAAAAGGTTATTATTCCATTTTGTAAGACCTACAGTGTCATTGTAATTAATTTATTGAAGTCTGTTTGAGTTCTATTAATTTCCCTTTAAGGTCTCAACCTGCGTGTTTGCTTAAGAGTGGTTCTTAGTTTGATTCCACTTTAGCTTCACACTTGTTCTTGTTTTCAATTGTGTGTGTGTGTTGCTGGGGGTTGAACTACCAGCCCTATTTCTGGCTTTTTATATAGCCATCTGTGGGGACTGAAAAGTTAATTATCCTTTCAAAATACTAAGCAATAAATGGTATGAATTTTCTTTTCCCTTTCCACAGGTATCTTCTAAGAAGTTTCATCCTTTTTTTTCTTTTCTCTCAATCCCATCCCCCTCATTTTTATACACAATTGCATCCTAGGATGCCTTTGTAATGAATTTGTTATAGTAACATCCCTGCTGGTACCAACTTTTGATGCCCACCCCTCCGCCCAGGCTGCTGTAGTTTGGTGTCCTCTTCATTTTGGGATTGTGTGTTTATATAGAGAGGGACACTTTCATGGCCAAATGATATTTTGTTAATTGTCCAAAAAGAATACTAGAGTTACTAATAAAAACACTGGACTTTTCTTTAATTTGTAAGTTCATATAGGGGGTTATCTTATACCTAAACCAATATTAATTCTTGTCTTGGTTATGGGTGTTTGTTTTCAATACTGGGGTTTGAACCCAGTGGTGTTTTACCTCTGCGCTACATCCCTAACTCCATTTATCTATCTGTCTAGTGCTGGGGATCAAATCCAGGACTTGTGCAAGCTAGGCAAGTGCACTACTGCTAAGACACATCCCTAGCCCTATTTTTATTTAAAAAAATATTTTTAATTGTAGATGGACACAGTGCCTTTATTTTGTTTATTTAGTTTTGTGTGGTGCTGGGGATCTAACCCAGGGCCTCACACATGCTAGGCAAATTCTCTATCACTGAGTTAAACCCCAGCCTCTTAGCCCTATTTTTTAAAATTTTGAGAGGGTCTAGCTGAATTGCCGAGGTTGCCCTTGAATTTCAGTCCTCCTACCTCAGCCTCCAGAGTATCTGGAATCACAGGTGTGTGCCACCATGTCCAGCAGGGTTGTGTTTTTATGTCTGTTTCCCTTTGATTCGCTTCCAATAATTCAACACAACATATTATAATGTTTTTGGTGGCAGATGACTTTCTAATTTATCCCTTTCCTATTATTTATTTTATATTGTCTCTTAGTGAGATGAAATTTCACTGATGAAATTTATTTTGCAAAATGAGTGGACTTAGAAAACTTTAATTTTGAAATATTTGGATTTTTTTCATTGTGGAATTATGGAAATAACAGGTTTAAAATGAACTTATAGCCCTTTTAGAAGGTTCTAATACCTCAAAGTTGATTTTATTGATCCATTTTTATCATTCCATTTCTGTCATTTTCTTTGCAATGGTTTTAAGGTAAAATACCAGTAATTATTCATTCAATAAATTATATATTGATCTTAATTTGTGCCAGCAATTGTGGTAGCTATCTACTGGAGGCTTTTTCTAAATCTTTTCTTTTAATCTTAATAATCACCAAAACTTGGGATTTTGACGTGCTCTAAAGTTTATAAAGCTTAAATATTTTCTTTTTGGTTCTCTTGACCTTTCCTGCAAGATAACATTTTGCCCATTGTGAGCATGTAATAGTCTCCCTTTCCCTAAGCATAGTTTTAGTTGAAATCAAAAGTTGGATTTGGTGACATCCCCCCCATTCTGTTTAAAAAATCTGTTTTACAGCAGATTTTAAAAACTACATATCTGTTGCATAAAATATGTTTTGTTTGCCTGAAATTTTTGCTTAAGCTATTTGTTGCTGCCTTCCATCTTTGAGCTTCACAGATTTTTTAAAATATATTCCTTTTACCTTGGGCTTATTCACAGAAGTTCATAATGCTTTCTCATTTTGTTTTGGAGATTTTGCTTTCATTTAGTGACCTGTTTTGCTGGGAAAATGATACTACAGTTTATTTTATTTATTTATTTTTATTATTAATTAACAAAAAAGTTTTTTAGTTGTCAGTGGACCTTTATTTTATGTATTTATTTACATGTGCTGCTGAGAATTTAACCCAAGCCCCACACATGCCAGGCAACCCCACTGAGCCACAACCCCAGCCCTACTGTTTATTTAGCTTCTGCAGAGGGGATAACTTGGGCATATTTACTCAGATTTGTTATTTGAGTGGTTGTATTTATTTTCAAGGAATTTCTTGACTAGAAATTGGTGGTTGAATATCTTTGTCTCAAAAAATAAAACTGTAGGTGCCATAAATTTGACATTTTTTTAAAGAAAGGAAAGTGGTCAGAATGCCAGTATTGTAAAATTGATTTATGCATGAGCTATTATATATATATATATATATATATATATATATATATATATATATTTTTTTTTTTTTTTTTCTTTTTGTATTTGTAGATGGACACAATACCTTTATTTTATTTGTTTGTTTTATGTGGTTCCCGGGATTTGAACCCAGTGTCTCACACATGCTAGGCAAGCACTCTACCACTGAGCCACAATCCTGGCCCTTCCTATTTTTCTTCTTCTTCTTTTTTTAAAATATTTTTTAGTTGTAAATGGATCTTTCATTTTATTTATTTATTTATATGTGGTGCTGAGCATCAAACCCAGGGTCTCCCACATTCAAGGCAAGTGCTCTTACTACTGAGCCACTACTCCAGCCCGAGATAGTATATTCTTTTATTTAAAAAACTTGTAAATTGGGGCTGGGGATGTGGTTCAAGTGGTAGCGCGCTTGCCTAGCATGTGTGAGGCCCTAGGTTCGATTCTTAGCACCACATAAAAAAATAAATAAAGATTGTGTATACCTAAGACTAAAAAATAAATTTAAAAAAAACTTGTAAATTTAATTTAGGCTAGAAATAGTTAACAGTTGATTCTCCAGATAAATAATAATCTTAAAGTAAAGATTGGATTTTAGACTTGCTTTTTAGTATATAGACTTTAAATATCCTTAGTTTACTTAAAATGCCAAAAGGCTGAAGTGAAACATGAGGGATGAAATAAAATTTTAGTTTTGATACCAGTTGAAGTTGAATGACATGTGACTTTAATATCTGGTGCTTCATTTTCAAATTTAAAATCAACAAGTTTAACTATATAGTTTAATAAGTATGTATTTCAAAGACAGATAACTATTTTAGTTCAGGCTTGGAGATTTGTACTGGGTCCACAGTTTCTCTGCCTTTAGTCTCTTCTGCCTTTCTTTCAGTCTCCTTCCTTGGACCTTAGTTTATCTTTATAAAATACAGATGTGATTGCACTTGCTTATTAAGTGTTTATAGCTGTCATTCACTATCTGCAGGACAAAGTCCAAGCCCTGTAGTAGGATCTACAGGCCATTTATAGACCTTGATAAAAATGTCTAGTTTTGTTCTTCCATTATTTTTGTCTATAAATAGGAGCCTTTTTGGATCTTGTTTTGAACTTCAAACTCAAAACTGCATATTATTCTTTTTCTTTTTGTCTGTAATTATGTTGTTTCTATACCTTTCTTAATGTCTCTGTTTCTGACAACAGTGAAATCTTACATATTTTAATACTTCAAATATATTGCATGTGAAATCTCTCCTCCAGTCTTTATGTTCCCACATAATATTTTCATCAGGTGGCTAGTATATGCCACTTTTCACATTGTATTAGTTTGTGTATGTCTGCTTGGATGGAGTGTGAACAATTTGAATATAGGGTTGTATTGTTTACTCATTCATCCTTATTCATCTTGGCAGCTATATTCAGTGTTTGAATTGAGTCATTAAACTATGGTTCATTCTTTATGTATAAATAACTACAGAAAATTAAGGAGCTTCCTTAAAAGATTTTAGATCTTTTGCTATATTATTTGCATTAAACTTTATGGAATTTTATGGAATTTCTAAGTTGGGAAAACAGTATTTGTCTTAACCTTTTTTAATGGTTACAGACCCCCTTTGGGAATATGATAAAACCCCAGATTATTTTCCCCCTCCCCAACTTTGAAAAGTTGATATGGTCTTTTTATAGGATTTAGAAATTCCCTTGAAGCCTGGTTATGTATCCTAGGTTGACAATGCTAGGCTGGATGTGCTTTTATGTTCTCATTATCTAGTGACATATGGGGTTATAGAAAATTATAGATAGGTTTGTAAATAAGTGGAATAGAGATGGCTTGATTTTGATGGTGAGTAAATCATATAGGGTCCTATTCCCAGTGGCTTTACCCCTGGTATTAGTAGGGTCCAAGTATGGCATAGTGTTTAAGGACCTGAGTTTGGAGTTAGTTTTAGCCTAGTTTTAAATCCTGTCTTGGTCACTTGAAACAATGTGACTTTGTCCCTCGATTTTCTCATCTGTAAGATAGGGATGATAATAAATTCTATCAAATATAATTGTTTTAGCTGGTCAGGTGCAGTGGTGCACATCTGTAATCTCAGTGGCTTGGGAGGCTGAGGCCAGAGGATTGTGAGTTCAAAGCCAACCTCAGCAACTTAGTGAGGCCCCTAAACAATTTAGTGAGACCCTATTTCAATATAAAATGTAAAAAAAAAGGATGGAGATGTGGCTCAGTGGTTAAGTGCCCCTGGGTTCAATCCCTGGTACCAAAAAAAGCAAATGAGATAGTCTTAAACCTTGTTACAGTATTTGGCATATAAAGAAAAGCTTAGATCATTAGCTTAAAAAATATCTACCATTTGACATTGGCATGCAGGATTTTTTTATTTTTTATTTTGTGACAGGGTCTTACCAAGTTGCTGAGGCTGTCCTTGAATTTGTAATCCCCCTGCATTTGCCTCTCAGGTCACTGGGATTATAGTGGAGCATCACTGTGCTGAGCCTGACATGGAGGGTTTTTTTTTTGCTTTCTGCTTTCCCTGCTGGCATTTTTCCAATGTTGCCTATGTGACTATATGGGTGATCCCAGAGATTTCTAGCAGGTAACAGCATACAAAACATATATGCCTGGCATTCTACTAGAATCTTAGAAAAGTAAGTAAAACCAAACCAAGTCTAAATCCTCCAGCTTTTGGATTCTAGAAAAGCTTTTCAGATGGGGCTTCTTTACTCTGTAGTCACAGGGCAATAATAACCTTTCCTTACCAAGTTTTTATAAAGTTTCTTTTTTTTTTTTTAGTAGTTCATGATAAAAGTGAAGGACTTGATGGGTATGCTTATGAAATTCCACTAATCATGAGTTTATTCTGAAGTACCTTAATATATATCATAAAAGAATAGCTTTAATTGTTTGACTTAAGGTTTATAGCAATAATATACAAATCTTATTTTTCTAACTCAGATAACTTTAACACTGCACTGTTCACAATTATAGTACTCTGGATTTATTGACATTTTTAGTGGGTTGTATACTTTTTTATACTTTTTAGTGGGTTATGCACTTCCTTAGCTGTTTAGTAGTTGTCATGTTTGGTTTGAACTGTTCATAATCTATTCTAGCCACCTCCATTTAAAAAAAACAAAAACACTATAAACGTTAGTGATTATAGATGAGTAATTGGAAGATCATAGTTCCAGACTCATTTGCTGCATGATTTCAAGACCTGCCCAGGGCAACATAGCAAGACTCCATTTCCAAAACATTAAGAAAAAATTTGATCAGGTCATGATAAATAGAATGGACTGTCTTCACAATAACTAACAAAACTGCAAGGATTGTTGTAGTTTGTACAGTATTACTTTTGTATTTTAGTCCTGTTATGTTATTAAGGGGATTTTCACTCTTAGATAGTAGGATTTATACTAGTTTAGAGTTTTTTTTTTTTTTTCTTCAAGAATTGGTTTAAACATACCACAAAATATATCACAACATTTTTGTTTTCTTCATCCAGACAGGTGATTTGGCTTCTGCACAGTTAGGAGGAGCACCAAACCGATGGGAGGTTTTGTCAGCCACACCTACAACTATAAAAGATGAAGCTGGTAATCTAGTACAGATTCCAAGTGCTGCTACTTCGAGTGGGCAGTATGTCCTTCCCCTTCAAAATTTGCAGAATCAACAAATATTTTCAGTTGCACCAGGATCAGATTCATCAAATGGTACAGTGCCCAATGTTCAATATCAAGTAATACCACAGATTCAGTCAACAGATGGTCAGCAGGTTCAGATTGGTTTCACAGGCTCTTCAGATAATGGGGGTATAAATCAAGAAAGCAGTCAAATTCAGATCATTCCTGGCTCTAATCAAACCTTACTTGCCTCTGGAACACCTCCTGCTAATATCCAGAATCTCATACCACAGACTGGTCAAGTCCAGGTTCAGGGAGTTGCAATTGGTGGTTCATCTTTTCCTGGCCAAACCCAAGTAGTTGCTAATGTGCCTCTTGGTCTGCCAGGAAATATTACCTTTGTACCAATCAATAGTGTCGATCTAGATTCTTTGGGACTCTCGGGCAGTTCTCAGACAATGACTGCAGGCATTAATGCCGATGGACATTTGATAAACACAGGACAAGCTATGGATAGTTCAGACAATTCAGAAAGGACTGGTGAGCGGGTTTCTCCTGATATTAATGAAACTAATACTGATACAGATTTATTTGTGCCAACATCCTCTTCATCACAGTTGCCTGTTACGATAGATAGTACAGGTATATTACAACAAAATACAAATAGCTTGACTACTTCTAGTGGGCAAGTTCATTCTTCAGATCTTCAGGGAAATTATATCCAGTCGCCTGTTTCCGAAGAGACACAGGCTCAGAATATTCAGGTTTCTACAGCACAGCCTGTTGTACAACATCTACAGCTTCAAGATTCTCAGCAGCCAACCAGTCAAGCCCAAATTGTGCAAGGTATTACACCACAGACAATCCATGGTGTGCAAGCCAGTGGTCAAAATATATCACAACAGGCTTTGCAAAATCTTCAGTTGCAGCTGAATCCTGGAACCTTTTTAATTCAGGCACAGACAGTGACCCCTTCTGGACAGATAACTTGGCAAACATTTCAAGTACAAGGGGTCCAGAACTTGCAGAATTTGCAAATACAGAATACTGCTGCCCAACAAATAACTTTGACGCCTGTCCAGACACTCACGCTTGGTCAAGTTGCAGCAGGTGGAGCCTTGACTTCAACTCCAGTTAGTCTAAGCACTGGTCAGTTGCCAAATCTACAGACAGTTACAGTAAACTCTATAGATTCTACTGGTATACAGCTACATCCAGGAGAGAATGCTGACAGTCCTGCAGGTGAGTCTTAAATGATGTCCTTCCATAAAAAGTATAGTTATAATATATGGGGAAATTTTTATTAGCATATAGCTTTCATTAAAGATGACATGTTCCTATGTTTATATGAAAGTAGACATCAGAGTGTCTTCCAAATTGTTCTTTGAAAGTTTTGAAGTTAAGGTTTCATTTTTCTCTTATGCCAATTACATTTGTAGTTTCCTTTGTTTTGACATCTGGTGTTGTCAAGCATTACAGAATTTAATTTTGCAGGTAGTGTCTTGTTTGGCCCTGATGTGATTTGGTTTAAACATTGTGTGCATTATATTTGGTTGATCATATTAGCATAGAGTAGAGTACTTATGTAGCTGTCTTAGTCACAAACTAGCTATGTGATTTTGGATAGGATTTTTTTTTTCTCTTGAAAACTTGGTTTCCTCATTGTGTGAAATGGGATATTAGTAACTTCATATCTAGGATACCTTCTAGATGTAACATGTGCTCCTCACCCCCACCCTTGCAGAATTGAACCCATGGGTACTTTACCATTGAGTTATATCCCCTGTTCTTTATTTTATTTTATTTTTTTAAATTGTGAGGCAGAATCTCTCTCACTTAAGTTGGTGAGGCTGACCTCAAACTTGTGATCCTCCTGTCTCCCAAATTGGTGGGATTACAGGCATGCCCTATCACGCCAAACTCCTTTTCCTTGTGAGAAATTTGGGACATATGCTTAGAATGTTGGAATTGCCCATGAATCTCAGATCTGTATTTGGAAATTCTTCAATTGTGTTTGTGCCTTCTGAGTCTGGGTTTAGAGCAGCAGTTCTTGAAGTGTGGTCTGCCCCCAAGACCCGTTCAGAGGTTCTTTATGTGAAAGTACTTTTTTTTCGGAAGCACTTAAACACTGAGCCACATCCCCAGCCCTTTTTTGTATTTTATTTAGAGACAGGATCTCACTGAATTGCTTAGTGCCTCACCATTACTGAGGCTGGTTTTGAACTCAAAATCCTCCTGCCTCCCTAAGCCCCTGAGATTACAGGTGTGCACCATCACGCCCAGCTGAAACTACTTTTCATAATAATACTAAGAAATTACTTGATTTTTTTTTCCCCCCTCTCCAGTGTTCACACTTTCACTGATGGTGGACCAAACTACTAGTATTTTCCTGACTGTGCACTTGCAGTTAAAGAAAAATTTGTTTCACTGAAGAATGACATACATGAGTCAATAAAAAGTTATTTTTGCTAAATGTCAACTCTTTAGAGCTGCATATCTTTTAAAAAACAGTAGATTTATTGGATTCTAACTCACATACTATAAAATTCACCTTTTATACAATTGAGTAGTTTTTTAAACATAGTCACAGACTTGTGCAGCCATCATCACTATCTAATTTTAGAGCATTTTCATCACCCCAAAAAGAAACCCATACCTATTAGTAGTCATTTCTCATTCCATCCCATCTCCCAGCTTCTAACAACCACTGTCTTTCTGTCTCTTTGGATTTGCATATTCATTCATAGTAGTGAATTATATAACGTGTGGCCTTTTGTCTCTGGCTTCTTTCATACAGTGTGTTTTCAAGGTTCATCTATGGTACAGCATGTCAGTACTTCATTTCCCTTTATGGCCCAATATTCCATTGTATGCCAAATTTTATTTTTCTATTGATGGAAATTTGGATTGTTTCCACTTTGGGGCTATTATGAATAATGGTGCCGTGAACATTTTGTGTATAGTTTTTTGTGTGGACATGGATTTTTCTTTTGAGGAATGGGTACTAGGTTCTATGGTAATTCAGTGTTTGAGGAATTGCTAAAAAGGTTTTTCCGAAAAGAATGAACCATCTTGTATTCCCACCAGCATTGTATGAGAGTTTCAGTTTCTCTAATTCCTGACAATGCTTATTATTGATCATCATCTTATAACCACCCTATTGGGTACGAAGTAATATCTCATTATGGTTTTGGTTTGCAGTTCTTACTGATGTCTATAATATTCTTTGTGAGGAAAAGGGAAGTATGCTTTAATAAAGCATTTCTGCTGCCTACCAAAATAAGATAATTGACTTTGAAAAAAAAGCACTTTTCCCTGTTGTACAATCTTGTATGTTATAAGCTGAAATATTGTTTTTACTTGAACAACTGACAAGCTATGGTTTGGGGGACTTCAGATATTAAGTGACAAATAATTAAGCAAAAGTAAATGAAGTAAGCTTGTCATTTAAACCCTACAATACTTCTTGTTAGTGATAAAACATGGACTTTCCAGTTAAAATTAGAATTTTGGCTAAAATCTACTTCTGTGAGTTTGTTAGCTTCTTTATACTTAACATTTTTCTGAGGAGATGGGTGGTGCTATAAATAAATAGAATCTGTTTGATATTGTAATATTATACCAACACTTGGAAGATCTATATGAAAAACTCAGTGAATCAGTAGCTTTTATTTTTCATTTTCATATATATTACACATAGGTATTGGGGATTGAACCCAGGGGCCCTTTACTATTGAGTATAGGATCTCACTGCTGCTAAGCTCTTGCCTCAGCTTCACTGTGTGCTTATAGGTATGTACCATCCTGCCTGGCTGTACATAGTTTTTAGATGATGAACTTATTATCATGGGTATTATTGAATTATTATACATGGGTAAAAGCCATTTAAAGTACAAGATAGATAACGAGTGTGAAAAATTTACCAATTCGGTGTAAGATTCCATATTTCAACTGAGTTAAGAAACTGCCACTTGTCAAGTTTGGTGGTATCAAAGAAAACCCAATTGTTTGAAAGGCTATTAAATTATTCTTCCCTTTTCCAGCTGCATATTTTTGTGAGACTATATATCTTCAAATGCTTCAACCCAAACCACATATTGCAAGAGATTGAATGTGAAAGTGGATCTGAGATGCTTTTGACTTCTTTTAATCTGGATTCTACAGAGATTTGCAAAAATGTGAAACATGGTTTCTTTTATGAAAAGTGTTTGGGCAGCTTTTTCATAAAATGTTAATTCATTTTCATTTTATTTATTTATTTATGGTGCTGGGGATTGAACCCAGGGCCCTGTGCATGTGAGGCAAGCACTCTACCAATTGAGCTATATCCCCAGCCCAAAGTGTTAATTTATATTAACATGTTAATGGATTTATTTATTTAATGGTGTCAAGCAAATCCAGGGTCTCATGCATGCTAGCCAAGTTCTCTACTGTATTTACTTTAAATTAATTTTAACAATTTAAAATTTCTTATTTTTAATATAGTAAATATGTCTAATATGATAAATATAAATATATATATACGCACACACATATATACATATATATGCGAATATGGATGTGAGTATACGTGTGTGTATCCTACATGAATAAAAGGTTTTTGGGGAACCTCAGTAGAGTTTAAAATAGAGAGTCCTGGGTTGGGGGTGTAACTCAGTGGAGGAGTTTGTGCTTAGTGTGTGTGAGACCTTGAGTTCAATCCCTAGGTCTTAAGACTAAAATGTTTGAGAATTACTGGTAAGATGACGGACTTCTGAAGACAATTTGAAACATTTGAATATTCTTTCTTAAAAATATTTGAAAATAGTTTTTAGTGATTACTTAATGTTATAGAGTGTTATTACATGTTAGAAACATCTCCAGAATTTGTGATTTTTGTAGATTTATGTTGATGTTGAATTTATGAGTCTCTTAAGTATTAGTAAGGTGATTTCAGGTGTTATCAAATAGGAACACTGAATTAAATACAAAATGGAGGGCTGGGGTTATGGCTCAGTGATAGAGCACTTGGCTAGCATGTGTGAGGCACTGGATTTGATTCTCAGCACCACATAAAAATAATAAAGGTTCATCCACAACTGAAGTATATATAAATAACATACGTATATATATATGTGTGTGCATGTGTATATATGTGTATGTGTATACATACATATATACATAAAATTTATTTATTTATTTTTTTTAAAATTTTTATTGTTGGTTGTTCAAAACATTACATAGTTCTTGACAAATCATATTTCACACTTTGATTCAAGTGGGTTATGAACTCCCATTTTTACCCCGTATACAGATTATACATAAAATTTAAAAATACAATTTTTTTTAATATTTATTTTTTTAGTTTTCCGCCAACACAACATCTTTATTTGTATGTGGTGCTGAGGATCAAACCCAGTGCTGTGTGGATGTCAGGCGAGCGTGCTACCGCTTGAGCCACATCCCCAGCCCCTAAAAATACAATTTTAAAAAATAAACATAAAATTTAAAAAAAAATGTAGTTTACTGAATGGTAGTCTGAAAGGGTAAATAAAGTACTCCAGAAGGACATTAAGTTTGTTCCAGTTTTAAAGAATGGGGAGCTGGAAATGGTGGTGCATGCCTGCAGCTACTTAGAAGCTGACAAGGAGGATTGCAAGTCCATGTAGACATCTTAGTGGGACTTTGTCTCAAAAAAAGTAATAAGGACTGGGGATGTAACTCAGTGGTAGAGTACCCCTGTCCTGGGGGAAAGTTTTGTTGTTGAGAAAGTAAAGTTAAAGCAAATGAGAATTTAAAATGCTGGATAGTACACAGCATATTTAAAAATAAAAACTAGGAAATTATCATTTGGGAAATATTAGATATTAGGAAAACTTTTTTCTTGGTTATGCTATTTAATTGACAAGAAGGGGAAATAGGGACCAAGGATGAAGCTCAGTGGTGGAGCTTATAGGAGGTCTTACAAGTTCCCAAAAAGTGGGGGATTCAGAGATAAATTATTATTTTTTCCAGCATAAGACATTTTTATCTGTGCTAGGAATAGTATACCCAGATGAAAATGCTTAATACTTTGACATATTTGGTTTGCATTTTTGATAAGTATGAAATTAATGTAACAATTTTCCCAAATACTGGATAAGGTATCCTCTTCCTCTAAAATCAGGGCTTTGGAATTTGTCTCTTTAAAGTTCCCATTTAATAAAAATGAACTCTATTCCAGCCTTTTTAAAGTTTTGGGCTCCTCCTCTTGTGAGATAATT